AGCAAAACTACTGTACCGTGAAATGTGTGAAGAGCAACTTGCCTGGGATGAAGAACTTAACGGTTCTTTGAAGAGACGGTGGAAAGAGTGGTACGAAAACCTGCCAGGCCAGTACACGGTCCCTCGAACTTTAGCCCCTCACAGAGAGCCAGTACAGTCAATCACCCTTCACGGATTCGGGGATGCCAGTAAGAACGGAGTTTCTGCGGTCGTCTACGCAGTCGCAGAGCAAGAGAGCGGAACAACCCAAGGTATCGTGTGTGCAAAGTCCAGACTTGCGAAGAAGAGCCTCACGATTCCCCGTTTAGAGCTTGTCGCTGGTCATATGACCGCAAACTTAGTGACGAACGTCGAGCGAGCGATCGGAATGGAGAAGGTGACCGAGATACACTGTTGGTTGGACTCGACAGTCGCGTTATATTGGATCAATGGACAAGGCGAGTACCGGCAATTCGTATCCAACCGAGTGAAAAAGGTCAAAGAACTCGACCGGATCAGATGGCATCACGTCCCAACGAACGAGAATCCCGCTGACCTAGGGAGCCGCGGAGGAGATGTGGTGGGAAACGAGTTATGGAAGCACGGTCCTACGTGGCTTAACAACCAGGAGACGTGGCCACCGGAAGTTGTGCCTGTGGCGAGTTCGGATTCGAAGCAAGAGGAAAAACCGTCGACGCGAGTTTTGGTCACGATGAATCAAACGGCACACGAGGACGTGTTTGACCAACTACTAGAGCGGTATACGTTGCGGAAAACCCTTCGAATTTGTGCTTGGATTAACCGCTTCATTCAACACACCCAAAGGAAAGCGAAGTCCCTGGGACCGATAAAGACGCAGGAGATCGAAGACGCACGGTTGTGGTGGATTAAACGAGTTCAAGATGGAGCTAGGGACGCACCGGAATTCGAGAGTACGAAAATCGAGCTAAACCTCCAACCTAACCAGAACGGAATTCTAGAGTGTCGCGGGCGAATCGAAGGCGAGTATCCGGTATACTTGCCTGCAAATTCGCAGTTTTCAAAGAAACTAGTCGAACAAGCGCACATCATCACTCTTCACGGGGGAGTACCGGCGACCATGGCTGAAGTTCGTGAGCGATACTGGATACCTAGACTACGTCGCCTTGTGAAGCAGGTACGAAGCAAATGTCATGGATGTGTGCGATTCCGCGCTCGTGCGTATCACAGACCACCGCCTGGACGACTACCAGTTACGCGAACGCAAGGAGAAACCCCATTCCAAGTGATAGGAGTCGACTTCGCTGGACCAATCAAATACAAAACAGCAGGAAAAGCGGAAAAGAAAGCGTATCTGGTACTTTACGCGTGCAGCCTCACAAGAGCAGTTCATTTGGAGCTGTTGAAATCATTGGAGGTTGTCCAATTTCTGCCTAGCCTAAAAAGATTGATCGCTCGAAGGGGGAGACCACAAATCATATACTCAGATAATGCCACTACGTTCAAGGCTGCGGCAAACTGGCTGAAAAAGGCAATTGGAAATGAGATCATAAACGGTTTCCTTACGGACAAGGAGATCCATTGGAGGTTTAACCTGAGTCGCGCACCCTGGTGGGGTGGACAGTTCGAGCGGTTGATCGGGCTCTTTAAACGATGTTTTTATAAAAGTATCGGGAACGGTAATCTAACCTTTGAAGAATTATCAGACGTGATCCTAGACATAGAAGTTGTAATGAACAATCGACCGTTAACATACGTTGAAGACGACGTAGAACAAACTGTTCTCACCCCCGCAAGAATGTTGCAGATAAATCCAGTTATCTTACCTGAAGTGGAATCTTATCACGTTGAGGACCACAGCCTTCGGAAGAGAGCGAAGTTTCTTCGTAGATGCAAGGATTTGTTGTGGAGACGGTGGTATAGAGAATACGTTCGTGGGCTAAGAGATCGACACCGACAAGATAATGGGAAAAACGCAGATCATCCCAACCGTGGTGATGCTGTTATCATCGAAGGAGAGGAGAAGAACAGAAATTTATGGAAGATGGGCGTAGTCGAAGAGCTGATTCGAGGGCGTGATGACGTAGTACGGGGAGCAAAGATCAGGACGCCAAATGGAATTCTTGAACGTGCAATACAGCAACTCTACCCGATAGAACTTTCCTGTGACTTACCACCTCCAACCACGTTAAACCCAGACACCCCTCCCTTCCAACCCCGACCGAAACGTGATGCAGCAGCAGCGGCAGCAATCCGCTTACGGGATCAAGCAGAAGAAGATGAACGGTGACACTTATCCATATTAGGACACTAATATTAGATTGCATTTAAGCTTGAATCAGTAGCACTAGCTCAGACCCTTTGTAGACATATATCACAGCACTAAGATATATGGGGGGAGTGTGTCGGGACTGAGCGACAACGGGGCGCACGAAATAATAGGTGATGACACGCACTGCACAGAAATGGGAAGCAATATGGGTAAAATAAGGGATCTGCACAAAATTGAGTCAGTTGGTGATAGAGGGTCATAGTGTGCGAAACGGTCTGTGACTCGAGAGACGCGATATTAATTCGACATAGCTGCAACGTGAATTTGGGTGAAGATTTAGTATAACTTTTAATTTTATTTGTTAATCAATATATTTCATAAACCCAATCGAATTTGTGAATTGAGACTTGTCGAGGACAAACGATACTGAACGGAGGCTAATTCTCGACACGTCATACATAAGTATAATTTTCTTGAAACAGCTATTTTCTGTAGTGCGTATAATTATATACATAATAAGAAGCTTAAGGGTTGCCAGCCTTTTTCTCGCCCGCTGTTCTATGGCACAACAGCAGACAAACATTGACTGGAAAAGTGTCACAGGGGCATTTCGAAAACCCCAAAGACTTCGCCTGGAAAGAGGTAAAGAAGGATTCTCTCATGTCACAACCCCAAATTGTGATCATCAAGCTCTTTCCTATCAAAGAGAATGCCGAAAGCATGTGAAAATAAAGCACCCATCGTCACACGTACTTTGAAACGCCGATCCTTGGAGGAAGCCATGAAATAACATCTGATATAAGGCAGTCGTGTTCGACGGCAAGCAAGGCAACAATGCCATGTTGTGCTACAGATTCTGAGTTAGGGCGATCATTTTGTGTTTGGCTTCAAAGCACGACCGCCGGTGGAAAACAAGCGGAGCAAACCGAAATATCGGTGCCAGAGCATTCAAATTCGTAAAGTACTGATGCGATCAGGCGAAGATGAATAATCGGTGTTGTCAACGGTTGAACTTTTTTATGTTCTTCCAGATTTTGAACAGACTTTCACGATCATTTAGAAAGTGTTTGGCAAATAGGACAATCTGGCGGCCTTGGCTACGTGAACGGTATAGCATATTTCATTCACCTGGGCCCGTCCTTCAAAACTTCTCCGTCACCGAAGTATATATAAAGCGAGCAAGACAATGTTTGACAAAACATGCAGATGCGTTCTCACTGGACGAAAGACTTAGATATTGAAACCCTGGAATACGGAAATACCTTCATCCGATAAGATATAGGCAGATCATATAATAGAAACAGAAAGCGCGAGCAGCTTAGATGTGCAAGCACAACGACGTGTATCATGACCAGAAACAGAGCTCAAACGTAGCAAGAGTTCATCATCGGAAGCTGCAAACTCGTAATTTCGCTCCAAAAGGACGATCCCATATGGAAAAGTTGCGCGATCAAAATGGAAAAGTTATGGACATGTGCGTGCAGCAACTGAGATACAGCGAGTCCAACGTTCCTTGTCAAGAAAAAGTCAAAACATATGAAAACAATGATACCTTGCAGAACCCTGTCAGTGGAACGCCAATTCGTGCGAAAGATAAAACAGGCAAGTGCAGATACGAGTAATTCGACTGACGCAAGAGGAAGATAATTATCTGAGAAAAGGACTGGAAAAGTTTGACATGCGCTGGACTTGCATTTTCAAGTGCCCTCTCCACAAATTTCAAGAATGCAGAATACCAATGTAATTATAAATGATTAGTCTACAAGTGTATAAATATATTGTTTTCTTTCAACCGAAATGTTTTGCAACGTTAATTAATCGGAACATGCGGTTCCTTTGATTGAATTTGATATTGACAGAATCGCAAGGCATTGAAATGCAGATAGTATAAAGTGAAATAACAAAATTATCATTCACGCCTCCTTATCCGGTCGTTCAAAATAAAAGTAAAGAAGGAACTGCCATGCAAAACCGTAATGAGTCACTGACATGAAAAGCGTCCTTTCTGTAATATTTAATCATTTGCAGACGTTTATATAGAAAGGCCACCACAAATTAAGTTTATGATGTATTGAAACGTTCCTTAATTAACGCATAAGGAACCATTCATGCATTAGTTCCGATAATAGAGTACGGAAAATTAATGAACAAACGGTTGCTGTTGTTCTTTTGCTCAAAAGCGAAATATAAGTTCGCATTCATGGCTCTTTATTATATAGGAGAACAACTGAATTGTTCCGAAAATAGAGTTCCTAAAATAAGGAACGAATTTTTGCAGTTCCTTTACAAAAACAATTAACAATACATTATATAGGCATGTAAAGAATCGAATGCGTGCAGTTCCTAAACATAATCGGTCCATGCATTAAGTTCCATTCACCACGTTCCCAATAACCAAGACAAACAACAGCTTATATCATACTTGACCGTAAAATTGCTTCGATATTTGCTCATTGCCACGTTTATGGTTTGATTAATAGTACAGAACACACCTAACCGTATAGTGTATACGATCCCGTCGAGGCCTTTTCGCTTATAGAGAGACAACTTAGAGATACAACAACCGAAAATCAATCACAATTAAGAACAGAATATAAGGAAATGTCATAAACAATTTAAAGACATATGCAAAGACTTAACGATTAGATTAATATCTAGCGATAAATCAACCACAATTGCGCAATGGATTAATTCTTTCCATTAGGTATAGACATGGTGGCATGATACATTTTCTGAAATATAATTTTGTGCTAAAAATATTCATACTTACATTAAATATTTGAGAGACTTGGTCATTTGTTCTAGCAGGCTTTCTCAAATTCCGGCTACAGGTGAAGTACTGGCGTGAGTTCATTGGACCGACTTCTTGTAGATTTAAAAAATTAATAGCCTATAAAGCAAACAAAAATTCGAAATTAGGAGAAAAATTACAAAGAAATCAAATGATGCGTGAGGTCACAAGGCACGAACATCAAAGCTTTTTGCGATGTTGTATTTTTGCTATACTAATATACAAATTAAAGCAATGATAGCCAATAAGTAAATTTATAAACAATATAAAACTCTGTTATAACGTCTATAAAAGATGTATTAAAAAAGAGGTAATCCAAATTTTTCGCGCTATTGTACGTGAGCTACTCATTCTAGTAACGAATTTTTTTCGCATTCGGAAAGATCAGGCTTTTAACTATTGAATGACATGCTTTTAATACCAAAATAAATAGCGAAAAAGGAGCAAATAGGAGGTTGATAAAAAAAGTTGGTAAAAATAGCTTATATATACTTTTATTGAAAAATTCCGCTTCTGAGTAAACTCGCCGCACATGCATATTAAATAGGAATAAATCACATCAGAAGAACATTCCAAGCAATGCAAATTTTTTTCATTTCTTGTTTTCGTGCGTAGCGAAACTCTCGAAGCATATTTCCGGTGTTAAAACTTAATTGCCATTTCGTGAAGCTAAGATATCTTTAAAATTTTCCGTTTGTTGGAATTAAGAGCCTTTAATTTTATAGAGTGCTCTCCTGATCATGGATTTATCGACAAGGGAAACGGTTAGTTTATTATCATATATATTAGGCTATACATGCATCTATATTTCTGACGTTTACGACAGACACTGATGCATTAGGAATCCATCAATGTCGTTGGTATCATCCGTCTTAATAATTTATATAATTGTCCCTTTAGTATTTCCCACACAAATCCTGCTTGTTAGTAGATAATATATGGTCTAAATTATATAAATTATGGTGATGTTATAATTATGAATACTCAGCAGTATTAATCACCTCCTTTTTTGATATTTCATCTGATTCTTTCAAGAGTAAAACACTTTTATCCAGGGCAGAAATAGCCACACGCGAGCCAGGTTTGGCTTTCATAACAATTGTTGTTTTTTCCCCGGGCTTTTTCTCTTCGTCGACGAAATTCACATACAACTAAAAATAAGGCAGCAGTTAATATCAAGCAAACTCTGATCAATCCCTAAATTTCAGTAATTCTTAACAACAATTTTAATATATTGCTTTCATTGATTGGTATTTATAGACTCATTGTACGTGAATTTCATATTTGAGCCCATCAAATCACAGGCAACAGAGACATGCACCGCTGGCGGACAGGGCTCATATGTGATGGCTAAAACTAGGTTGCTCCTTGCAATCACACTCGGTTATATATCTACCTCTCTATTATTGGAGAGTAGGCATGATTAGAGCTCTGAGAAGGACGATAGTTAGATGATATAATGCTATTAGGGTACAATAATTATTAAAAACAGGTAAACATTTTAGAACTCTCAATCCTTATGCACATATTTACAGTGGCGTAGCCAGCCTGACGATTTTGTCCCTCTATGTAAATTTCGAGTTATCATAATTATTCATGTCTTTAGAAATCTTTTGTTTTTACAGTCAGTGAACACCAAAATATTAGGATAGCGGGACAAATCGACAGGCTGGCTACGCTACTGCATATTTACTATATATTATACGTATATTTTGTCAGGAGAGCTACCTAGTATGATAGAAAAAATAGCACGTGCCTTCTGTGAGGGCGAAAAAGCGGTTAAAATAAACAAATAGCAAAAAAACCCAATCATTTATTGCATCTCATGCAAGAAAATGTCGTTTGCTTTCGGTGAAAGTAGAAATCTCTATGAACAAGGTTTAATCAAAAGCGCGAGTCTGTTAACTATACCAGAATGACTCTTGTTAATAATTTTAGTATTTTTTCGTCTGGGATACGCCTCCAAGATTGCTTGCTATTGTTTTCATAGTTCACAATCATACGGCGTCTCCCTGACAACGGTTCTTTTTGGTTTATTTTTCTGTGTCATTCTCTTTATAACCCGAGGTCAAAACGTCGATAAATATTTTGTGTATATTGGCAATATTTATTTCTTATTTCGTGCAAAGCTTTAAAACGCGCTCACACGTTTGGCCTAAAGCGGAATTTTTTAGGTACCTGATTCTCAAGTTTATCTTCCACGTCATAAACAACACTGTCACCGATAGTCTCCTTATCCATCTTGACAAAGTATACTAAGATTCTGCAACTCGGAACCATTTCCTGAGTAACATTGAAGTAAAGCTCAAATTTATTCATTGATCTTCCAGCTATGCTTCTTCTGTTATACGTAAATTGTCTATGATTACGATTCGAGGAATTTTTCAGAGTTTGCCAATCCTGTGTTCTCCAAGTAACGCCAGATAACAGCAGATTTCCTTTACACAAAATCTTTAAAACGATGAATAATGTAATGAGTCTGGTTACGCGTTTAGCAAAAAAATAAGTTGATAATCTGAAGAATTGTGTGAGGAAGATTAATTCGAAGAATTGTGTGTTACAGCGAGTTCTGCCTAACATCAATATACTCCCATTAAACAATCCAGTGCCAAATTAGTTTAAATAACCATGTCGTGATCATATTAATGGTGATACATGGCTTAACAGCTTTTCTTCGAATAGTCATTATGTACGACGTTAAAATGTTCGTACCTCGTTTAAGTGAATGTTTTATAATTTAATATTTAATAACTATACTTTGTAAAAGAATGGAATATTTCTTCGCATGTTATCAGGGACAGTGTAAAAGACTTTCACAGATCCTTCGCTTCCGACCTGAAAGAAAACATTATATCATCCTAAAAAATACTAATAAAAGTTGAGAAAAAAATTGGTGAAAAGCATGCATTGCGGAGTACATATATATAAACTTAGTGTAAGCGGTTTGATAAAAAGCTGTAAATACACTACTGATCAACCGAAATAATAGCGCGTGCACACTATATGCGTAAGGCGACACGTTCTCTACTATGTGCTTATGCGCATATGAATATTTTACAGAATATGCGCAATATAAATTTGAAATATTATTATTATTATTATTATAACGATCGTCCATTTTAATAAGAAACAAATTTTAGACTAATAAATTCCCAAATCCTAGCTTGCCTATATAAATAGTTAATATTCCATTAAATTTACCTTCGCAGGTAAGCCGTGATCAGGTAAGACCAATTTCAAAAAACACAAACTTGGAGAGTACCAAGAATTGGAAGTTTTTACTTTCAACAATTGGTCTGAGTTGTAGTTGGCCTAAATGTTTAAAAAATAGCCTAAAGTAAGGCTACAGGTAATAAATTTTAATTCCAACTTAAAACAGGGACATTTGCAGCAATACCACATATATCCAAATCTTATTTACGAAATATATTAATATATAAATATAATGAGTTCATGAATAAATTGAACCTATATAAAGTGAACCTACAAAATTTTTCTCGACGAGATCCTTCTTGAAGTAACATATGTACGCAGTTTTACCCGCGGTTAATCGCCATTTTACAAAATAAAATTATTATAAATCATATATATCATCCGCATCGATTTCACAACTATACGGACTCTGCATGCATGCAACTGCTCAAATTCAAACGCAAATTAATCCTTGTGAGGATTAATTAATTGTACTAAAATGTTACAAGATTTGATAGCTGCATTAGATTCGGATATAGCATTACCGTAAAGGTGAGTGCCTTTGCGTAAGGCGACACGTTCTCTAGGGGGACAACAATCACACCGTTTGCCACAGAATACCACCTGCGGAATATTTTACTTGATGTTCGAACATTGTGCTGACGTTCAGACACGTCAACTCGTATTGTTCCATCAGTTACAGGTGTCCCATCAAGGTATTTAATCTGGACCTAAAAACGAAAAAAAATTTTCTCGTGGACACCGTGGTGCGGATATTTTACGTATGTCACGTTTAAGGGTGATCGACATAATGAGTTTCCCCCCATTTTCTTTGTTGTTGCTGTGAAAATATGGTCTTTGTCTGGTTCGTATATAAAACGAGATTAAAGTTGGAAATACAAACGAAAACACTTAAAAGACATATTTAAATAAGTAATATTTATTCTACTTTAATGTTTAGGCTATAATTTAAAAAAACATTAATTAGCTTTTGTAACGGTCTTTCACGACTTATTCTTCCGCCGATAGGAAGTGGATATATTTCTTCTGAATATTTGTCAAACAAGGCTTTGAAATGTTAATTATCACTGAAACCTTTCTTTAGATATCACTTCGAATTCCCAAAAGCAGAACATTTTTCATTCAAGCAACCATATTTAGCAGAAGATAACTTTGTTATTTCTGTTCGTGCTGATTCTTTTAAATTGTAAACGCTGGCTTTAAAGCATATATTCAACAACCCCCCAACTAAGTATTCAAATCGCTACAAAGTTTATCTTAAAACAAAATCAACTACCTTAAATTTTATTGGAAAACCAGGTTTAAATTTCTGAGGAACATCAATTAGTGACATGGCTTTAGACTTCAACACCATATTAGGACTTCGGGCTGTTTCTTTTATTTTAACCCCAGTAGAGATTTCGGTAAACATAGCAGTAATATGTAAATAATATCCAACAGGGGTATGTGAATTGATTAGTTCTTTAGCATCAATATGAGCGCATCCTGTTATCTAAAAAATAAAACACATAAATATTAGCTACAGGTTTGACCATGAAAGCCTTAAAAATAGATATAGTAGAATAGTAAAAATAAATAGTAATTCACCTATACACGTTTTGAAATTTTACTAAAAAGCGTCCTATAGATGGTAAGCAGGGGTGCCCATAAGTAACGGAGGGGGGAGGGTAACAAATTATATGTTTTTGACTTTTAAGTATTATAAATAACATAAACTAACTATTTTGTGCCGTTTTTACTAACGTTTAACGATCTCCTATTTTTTTCCGGTCGGTCACGATTGTCATTGTTTCGTAATTTGCAGAATGACGTCACTGCCATAGTGTTCGTATTCAAAATGCGAACGAATTGTAGTAAGGCTTTTGTCACGAACTAGTGGCCATGATTGAGTGAATGCGCTCCAATTAAAGGGGCTTTATATCCATGCAGTGGGGGGAACAAATATAATTATATACAGAGTAAATTCACTATATTATTACACCACGAAATAAGTGCGGTGTTAGTCAACGTATGCAATGCAACATGTTTGAGGTTTTAGCGCCTTCTTTTGCTACATGTACGTACATTTTTGGTTTCTTTCAAACAATTTTGTTCCACTTGGTTGTTCTTGAGACACAATGTTGTTTCCAGTCGACCAGTAACAAATTTCCCGTAAGTATACCTTTATGAATCAAACGTCAGAAGAAAAAATGAAACTTTTAAATTGACAATATCCCAATTTTCGCGAGTTATAACCAA